AAATATTTCACTATATAAAGTAATTACAACATGAATAAATGATACCTGGGACATCTATTGTAGTTCCACACAAGTAAATGACACCAACTATTGTCAGTAGGGTAGGGATGCGGTTAAATAATGAACTGATTGAGTTGGGCAATCAGAAACACGTGAACGATTCTAACGCAATAGGACACATTATTATTACTATTATTATTATTAATTATTTGTCGGACGCCAAACTCGTCCCTTCCCATCTGGGTTCCACTCGATAACCTGGACTGACGCGTGATGTCCCCTAACGGTCTTCTCAGTGTATGCTCAATCCAATCCATCTCCAATTCCTTCCACTGAATATTTGATGAGTGATAGGTTCTCGCTTCTTTGGTTCGTTGACAAAACACAGTTTCTTGTTGTTTATTCTTTCCCGCATTACCATCCGATTCCATTGTCAGTAACGAGCCAGTATAGACAGCTGCTGATGAATGTGTGTAGTTCGCTGGAAATCCCGTTTCTGACGCATTAAGTCTCTGAGACATACAGAAGCACTAACCTGACGTTGAGGTTGAAAATCCGGATGCCGTTCTACATGCTGATTTCAGAAGATCACATTGGTCTCAGATTAATGAATATCTGTCTTGTTGTCTTCCCCATCCTGACTCCTTTCGACTTCCTCGTCTCTGCCTGTGCCACCTCCAGTTGAAACGATGCTGAAATGACTACATAGGTGAATACGGCTACTTCCTTCCTTCCTTCCTTCCTTCTTTCCTTCAAGTTTCTCCCGTTCAAACTGATTCGAGCCACTTGCTGTTGTTGGTGGCGTTGTTGGCTGGGTATCTTCATCACCTCTGTCTTCTCTACATTCACTCACAGTCCCATCTTCACTGCCCTACTCTACCCTACCTCTTCTGTCAACTTCTTGGCTTTGGCCTGTTGATCTTCGAGTTGGTGCCACAAGACATTAGACACTAATCGTCATGAGCGAAATCCAAATCTCCTAGGACCTCTCCCTCGGTCCAGTCAGCCTATCCCCTCATTCTCGCTCCTCACTCTTTCTCGCATGATCCAGTCGAGTCGACGACAATCAGGAAGATCATGTGTGATAGTAGACAGGCTTATCTTACTCCTTCCTGTCTTCACTTCACTCCACTTCACTTCACCTCACTTCACTTCACTTCAAAGGATCACTAGACTTCGCATTGTGAGTTGCTTGGCATGTGGCGTCTTCATATACTTGTTGAATGAGATTGATGAAGGTTTGTGGTACTGAAACGATGGTGTTGGAGCAGTCACCAAATTACTTGTCGGTCGACGCCTGGATCCAAGGCCTTTTCGAAGTGGATGAAGTTGAGGTGAGGTGGAGATTTGACTGTCATTCTATGATCTGTTGTATGATGATGCGTAGTGCAGAGTGCCAATTTGATTCGCACATGAATTGTTCTACGTGAATCCAGTCAGCCTGTTCTGTTTTTAGTTTTGAATCCAGCGTATCCGTTAGTCTTTGCAGGATGATGCGGCATAATATTTTGCTTGGGGTGTACAGGAGCATGATTGCTCGCCAGTTCTTGAGAAGACTTAGGTCTTTCTTCTTTGGAAGTTTGACAATGTAGTCTTCGTACCAGTCAATCAGCAGGTATTTCTCCTTCCTTGCAGACCTTCAATGAGACACTTGGACCGTCTATTCAATGACTAGGAAAGGAGTTCAACATGCTTGTCTCATCCGATTCGGAATTTGTCAGTTGGATGTTCCTATATCTCAGTGAGTGTTGTTCCCACCGAAAGATATACATATAAACCCACTAATTCAAAAGTTAAATGCTCATTCAGACTGGTCAACTACAGGATGAACTGTCCAATAACGTTTTTCTTGACCACGCAGTGACATGAAACACAAACTGATTTACATAATCTTCTATCTTATGTACCAATGACTTACAATATTGATATCTATTTACGTCACTTTTCTGTCAATTTGGAAATCACTTTTCACCTCGAATAAAACCTTTCATCACCTAATAATCATGTTGATTAATTCTTACCGAACCACTCAGTCTAAAAGTATCATCCAGACAAGGCATTTTCCGAGGTCTTATGGATACGCCGGTGAAAGTTATCTGAATATCCACTAACTGAAGGTGTTGAGACGAATGGAATGCAGAAGAACTGAGGTGTAGGTGTGTTAATGAAGACGATACAAAGTCATATAACGAAAATGATAAGTGCTATACAAAAGACTTTAATTTTACATCTGTTATGAAGTATAACTCTACGTCAACTAAGTTTATTTGGAAGTGCACACGCATAATGAAACAGTAATGTCTACGAGACGATGTTTATTGTTCATAATCAATCATACGAAGATAATTACTCAGCTTTCAGTACCTGGTAATTATAGTTTTGTTGTATGTTACTTCTCTTGCTCCACAAGTAATAAGATTTTCCCAACTTCTGTGACATCTACTGCACCACTCACATTGGAAACATTTCTTGTTTTCTTAACTCGCCGTTTTATTGATTCTGTAACGACTTCTTTGAATAATTGTTTAGAAATAGTATAATCGTTTTCATATCATACCGTCGTTGATTCGACCGAATTGATCGGTCTCTGTTGGCACATAGGCTCCTGTGTGGATGCCTAGATATTGCCCGCCTTCTAATTATATTAATGATGGATCGTGGCTAGCAGTGGAATTCAGGATGCGCATTTTGTCCTATTTGGGACTCACTAGTCAGCTAGATGTACCTGCTTCCCAGTGAGTGGTGTTGTTCCCACAGGGATTTGGACTCGGGAGCGATGGCTTCAAACACTGTAGCGTTATCCACAAAACCACCTAGCCACGATAGCCGCTTCTTGCGCGATGGATATGGTTTCTAGTATAATTGTTTTTGTATCATATCGTCGTTGATATCATTAATATAATTAGAAGTCAGGCAATATCAAGGCATCCGCGCAGGATCCCGTATGCCAATAGAGACTGATGAATTAGGTCCAATCAGAGACAGTATAATATAAAAACAATTATACGAAAAACCATACCCATCGCGCAAGAAGCGGCTATCATGGCTAGGTGGTGTAGTGGATAATGCAACAGTATGTGAAGCGATCGCTCCCGAGTCCAAATCCCTGTGGGAACAACACCACTCACTGGGAAGCAGGTACATCCAGCTGACTAGTGAGTCCCAAATAGGACAAAATGCGCATCCTGAATTCCACTGCTAACCACGATCCATCATTGATATAATTAGTAAGAAATGTTGATGAGCTGTTGAAATTCAAAGTGGTTTTATGTTTTTACATTGAAAATGTCATATTCTGCGGCTAAACTGATTTGTTTATATCTGACTATTTTTGTTGGTTGCGTCAATCAAAAGTCGACTATTCATATCAGTTAACAGTCTAGTTGCTTATCATCTACTGGATACTAGACAGAGTGTTGACAGTTTTGATAAACTAAGAGAATTCCAACTTACATAGATTTGAACTGACGAAATATACCCATTTATTCATTAACAAGAACAAGGCATGTATCAGCGAAGAAATATTTCTTTTCAACGTTGGTCGTTGAAAAGAAATATTTCTTCTCTGATTGCTTAGATTTGTTGAGATCATTGACAAAAATCATAAGATTTACGGTTAATTAAGGTTTCAAAAGAGGTTACAGTTGTCAGCCTCTCAAGAGTTGTGATAAGGGCACGTTATACCCAAACTTTTGAATAAACACTATTCGAACATGATTCGTTTTACACTTCTAGCTATTGTGTACTCGTATCTGATTAGGGATGTTATATTGATAGAAAGCAACAACTTGAACACAGAAGATTCTTTTCAATAAATTCTCTCCTCAGGTTCTACACTTATAAAATGCATTTGTACATCATGAAATCAAGTCATGTTATGGGCAGATAAATTTACAAAATGGAGTAAAATTTAGAGATATTAAGAAAATCTATGAATAATATGATAAGGAACAAAGAGATCAAGAAAAAAGGAAAGCAGAAGTGATATTTACTTTACTGAAGGACAAGAACGTTATATATAGATCCGCTTTGTATATCATTACTATTATTATTTGTCCCTTGGGTTCCCAATGGGACATATGGATTCAGTAGCACATTGCCATCTAACTCTCTTCTCACACTCTTTCCAACCTCACTCCACCACTCCCCACAAACTTGCATTTCCTACTCACATCATCTCCTCCATGTCACCCTCCAACACTCAACTACTACTTTCCCAATTGGCTCCCATTCGAGGGAATGGCCTGCCCGTCATGTCCCCAAACCGTCTTGTCAGTGTATGTCCAATTCAATTCATCTTCACTATCCTCCTCTCCATATTTGTTGCACTATAAGTCCTTGCTTTCTCGCCTTCTCATCTCATCTCATCACATCTCATCTGATCTTCAGTATGGAGTGAGGGTAAACGACAGGTGTTGATGTGTGTCTGTAGATTGTTTTAAATGCTTTCCATAATGCGCCAAGTTTTTTGAATCATCACATAGAAGTACTGACTAACTTGACTGAATTAGTGTTGGAAATCCGGATCGTGTTCATGTTTTATGCTGCATGCAGTAGATCAGCACTCTGATTTCAGGTTAATGAAGGCCTTCCTGTCTTGCAGTCTTTGTGATCGTGATTGTGACGACCTCGACTGTGGTGTTGCTTGTAGTTGAGAGGATGCTGCTTATGTGGGTGGATGAAGAGACTACTACATTTAGATATCTTTCGTTCATGATGATTGGTGCTTGTTGTTGTTTGTGATGGTGTTGGTTGGATATCTTCATCAGCCTTGTCTTCTCAATGTTCAACGGAAGCGACAGCCAAAATGCAAATATTTGGATTCCTAAGAAATTCAATAGTACATATCAACAAAGGTTGATCTATTCCATAAAATGTAAAAAATGACTCAAAGAAACAAGATTTTTACTTCAACGATCTATAAATGTATGTTTATACAATTTTCGCACACTAATCAACCTGGAAGTAAATATGAGTTCCTTTCTCCAATTTTTTTTCAGAATTGATTCTAAATGTTCAATGATTCCACTGAAAAAGAATATGAAAGATGATATATTGAAGGTGAGAACCATTTCTCAAGATACTGATAGTTATTCAGACAGTCCAGTGAAAGTAAACAAGACCTTTGATCATGGTCATCTTAATCCACTTGAAGATAATTTAATAATTAATAAAGAAATACAAAAAAATGATTATAAAATTAGAAATAACTTTAATGATAAAAATATATTACTGAAGAATAAGTATAAAAGAGAACGTCGACTTACAGAGAAATTATCTAAAGGGATTGGATATCATCTTGGTAGAAGGCGTCGACTTCTTGAAAGTAGAAGAAGAATGGCTGATTTTGCACTGGCTTTCAGTATATTTGGAATTATTGCAGCATTCCTTGACATTGAATTTATTTCTCGTTCATTGTATCATAAAGTAAGTTATATCTATTTGATATACTTAAAGTGAATTATTATCTAAGTTAGAGTTTTATTCAGCAAATGTTTCGTTGTTATACTAGACACCCTCTTCAGTGTATCGAGGCTTCACAAGGTTTCAACTAAAAAGTGGAATAATTCTATAGAATATTAAAGCGAGAAACCTAAATGAAGTAGTCCCTTTCACTCACCCACCTAAGGAGCATCGTCTCAACTACAGGTGGCACAGGCACAGATGATCACGTCAAAACCAACATCGGAAAGACAGCTAGAGAGGCTTTTCTGAATTGATCTAAAGTCAGTGTGAAGATCTACTGCACTCCACTCAGCACAAATAACAAGATTCGGATTTCCAACACTAATTCAGTCAAGTAAGTCAGTGCTTCTATGTGATGGTTCAGAAACTTGGTGCGTCACGAATAGCACTTCCAACAATCTACAGACATTCATCAACAGCTACCTACGCTTACTCAATATTGAAGATCAGATGAGAAGACGAGAAAGAATTAGCGAAGAGTAAGTCTGGCCTGGCAAGGAACGAATGAAGCAAGAACCTATCACCCAACAAATATGGACTGGATTTGGTATACACTGAGAAGGCCGATTGGGGACGTCACGCATCAGGCCAGGCTCTCAAGTGGAATTTGAAAGGGGAAACGATGAGTTGTGTGTCCGAGGAAAGAGTGACATGAAGGAGATTATGTGAGGAAGTAATGCAAGCTTGTGGGCAGTCGTGGCGGCAGGTTGAAAAGACTGTAGAAAAGACAGTGTATTAGAGGCGTGCTACTGAATTCCTGTGTTTCACTAGGGATCCAAGGGAAAAATAATGATAATAATTCTAACAAATTGTGAAATGATCAGTTAGGTTTCATCATTTTCTTTCGAAAGACCACCTCTCTGGCCAAAATAAAAAACTTGATTGGTCAATGTCAAATTGGGATAGCCTATTAACAAATAATATTAGGGTTGGTACTACCTCGTCGTTTAGTGGACCAAATTGATCGGTCTCTATTGGCAGATGGGCTCATATGTGGATGTATCGATGTTGCCTCTTTTTGAATTATATATCATTGATGGACAGTGGCTAGCAGTAGAATCCATGATATGCGTATTTCGGCCTATTTCGAACTCATCAGATGCGTGTACCTGAATCTCAGTCAGCGATATCGTTCCTATCAGGAGTTCATATAACAATAAAGACCGGTCAATTATGTTCATTCAACGAGGGGATAACACAAGCGATAACATTAAAACTATACACGTTGCACAAGAACTGGCTATTGCCAATCGGTGGTTTGGCGTTTGAAACGGTCGGTAGCCAGGTACATCCTGCTGACTGATGAATGTTAAATTGGGTGAAACGTGTATCCTGGATTCCACTGCCGGCCGCTACCTACAAGTAATGTGTAACTCACTAACTGTTCAGTCTACGATGACATTTCTTACAGCCGAGTAATCTTTCCACAAGGTCGGAAACTATCCTCCAACCAAGATCACAGGACATTTTTCCTGTCACAAAAATATGTCAGTAACTAAAGAAATATATGGTTGAACAAATTAAGTACTGTCTAACTACTCCCATCTTATGGTCTTCACTAAATGGTTCCCAACGAAAACTATGTTCATACCATAGTTAGCCAGTTGACAAACTACTCACCTATCAGAAATATTCATTCTGGAAGTTCTTTGCAAATCGATTATCAAATTTAATTTGAAGATTTGTGAGGATTGATTTATTGGTTTCAAGTTGGTATACTTCAACTGATGCCAGCCCAAAATGAATACCAAACTGACATCATATTTTAGGCATATCAATCCATCCAAGTTAGTTACTCATATTAAAATCATCTGAACTATTCTGCTTTATGAGGTGAATTTGTTCGAGTACACCATCAATGAGCTGGTTCCACCTTAATCGAATAAAACTGCCGTCCAGTGTTTAAATGAATTTGATTTACCTGGCTTTTGAAATCAACTGATTAGTTTCAGGAGTTTTTAATTACAAAACAAATTACTGTTGAGTAAGTCTGATAAATCCGAAAAATGTATTAGATTAGATGTAAAAATGACCCAGTTTACTCAAAAATGCAAAATCTCAAATGATGAAAGTAAAAATAATCGATCGAAAACTTACTTATAAAATTCCTTTTATGTTTATGACGAAGGCAACGAATCTACGTAATGTTTTGCCCAATTCAATAATTCCATATTGTGAAACTCTCGAAGAAGGGCGACCTAAGTCTTCGCAAGAACTGGCCAGCAATCATGCTCCTGTACACCCCAAGCAAAATATTATGCCGCATCATCCTGCAAAGACTAACGGATACGCTGGATTCAAAACTAAAAACAGAACAGGCTGACTGGATTCACGTAGAACAATTCATGTGCGAATCAAATTGGCACTCTGCACTACGCATCATCATACAACAGATCATAGAATGACAGTCAAATCTCCACCTCACCTCAACTTCATCCACTTCGAAAAGGCCTTGGATCCAGGCGTCGACCGACAAGTAATTTGGCGACTGCTCCAACACCATGGTTTCAGTACCACAAACCTTTATCAATCTCATTCAACAAGTATATGAAGACGCCACATGCCAAGCAACTCACAATGCGAAGTCCAGTGATGCCTTTGAAGTGAAGTGAAGTGAAGACAGGAAGGAGTAAGATAAGCCTGTCTACTATCACACATGATCTTCCTGATTGTCGTCGACTCGACTGGATCATGCGAGAAAGAGTGAGGAGCGAGAATGAGGGGATAGGCTGACTGGACCGAGGGAGAGGTCCTAGGAGATTTGGATTTCGCTCATGACGATTTGTGTCTAATGTCTTGTGGCACCAACTCGAGGATCAACAGGTCAAAGCCAAGAAGTTGACAGAAGAGGCAGGGTAGAGTAGGGCAGTGAAGATGGGACTGTGAGTGAATGTAGAGAAGACAGAGGTGATGAAGATACCGAACCAACAACGCCACCAACAACAGCAAGTGGCTCGAATCAGTTTGAACGGGAGAAACTTGAAGGAAGGAAGGAAGGAAGTAGCCGTATTCACCTATGTAGTCACTTCAGCATCGTTTCAACTGGAGGTGGCACAGGCAGAGACGAGGAAGTCGAAAGGAGTCAGGATGGGGAAGACAGCAAGACAGGTGTTCATTAACCTGAGATCAGTGTGGAGATCTTCTACAATCAGCATAAAGCGTGAACAACATCCAGATATTCAACAGCAATTCAGTTAAGTGAGTCGGTGCTTCTCTATGTCTCAGAGACTTTGTGCGTTACAAACGGGATTTGCAGCGAACTATACATATTCATCAGCAGCTACAAACGCCGGTTCGTTACGGAAGATGAGATCGGATGGTAATGCGAGAAAGAATAAACAACAAGTAACTGTGTCGTGTCAAGGAACCAACGAGTCAAGAACCTATCACTCAACAAATATTCAGTGGAAGGAATTGGACATCACGCGTCAGGCCTGGCCCGACGAGTGGAACCCAGATGGGAAACGGTGAGTTTGGCGTCGCAGATGAGGGTGACATGGAGGAAATGGTGTCAGGAGGAAATGAGAGGTTGTGAGCAGTGTTGGATCGAGGTTGAGAAGATTGCAGAGGAGGGAGTGTAATAGAGACCTGTTACTGAATCTTTATGTTCCACTAAGAACCCTAGGTACTATTACTACTGCTACTAATAATAATAGTGGAATTTTTTTGTTGTTGTATGTGTGCGTGTGTAACAGGCTTTAGGCTTTACTTAATTCGTGAAGGTCCTTGATAATACCCGGCCGATAGGCTGAAGGAAGTAAGTGCTTTATTTGAAACCGCACTAAATTACCTGAACGTTGAGCCCTAAAACCAGCTAGTCACGTCATGTCTACTAGAGTCCTATAGATAATGATTTAACTGCATATTAGTGAGACAGACGAATTTCACTGGTCATAGTGTAATTTAGGTCTTATTCCGATTTTTGCTTAGTTTTAATCTCCAGACTTGATATCATCTAATGTGGATGTGGATTGGTCTTCTAACTGAGCAGGAAACGCTTTCATATGCAAACGAACACTCCTGCCATAGAATTCTGTTAACGTTATCTCAAAAGGATCAGCGTTGTCCCAGAACTCTCCTAACTGTCAGACTTCAACGCATTCACATTCTTTGGGTTATCGGTCCTTTGACGGTGCTTACATCTCTGTAAGCAAACATGCTTGGGAAGCATTTCATTGACCTCTCCCAAGTCTTAAAGACTTAAGTAAAGGATCACCTTTAAGAAGAGGCAATCTACATATCACCATAAAGATTTATGACAGAGGCTATCCCCAGGTTACTACCATAAAGTCAAGTCCAGACTTAACGACACCAGCATTCCAAACCAGATATCACTTTCCTTCGTCTGTGGAGGTTACTTCAAAAACAATGACTGCCAGAACTGAGAGGCTATATTCACCTTTAGTTTTGGTTGCGCTGATCCCGCCACACTTTGCGAAATCCTGATGGCTAGATAGACTGTCCATGCTTTGAAGACCTGTGCAAGTATGGATGTCGTCAACCACGATTATCGCCAAGTCAACTTGACGATGACTATGGGTCCAAGGAGAGGCCTGCCGTTGTATGTAACTAGGCTCGATTCGGTGTACAAATCATCTCTGGTCTTCACAAGCTAGCAGAACAAACCCAGATCCAAATGATTATGTATCTACTGATTGGATATGTGCCACCTTAAGAGAGTTCATGTTTAAGAATAGAACTACTTGCCTTTCTTCTTATTTTTGTCTAGCTAGGTCAAGCATCATCTCCCTATACATTTACGAAATTAACGTTGTCTGCTGTGAATGACTATTGTTCCTTGCAAACAAATAGAAGGTTAAATGCATACAGAACCAAATCAAGAGTAGATTTACATAGTTTAGTCATTACTAAACCGGTTGTCTTCTAAAGTTTTTGATCTCCGCTCAGTTAGTGTTTAAAGTGTCAAATCTCATTTTTTCATCGAACTAAAATCAACAAGG